ACAATAATCTGATCCAAACGGTGACTTCAATCAAGTTTTTAGGTCTTTATATAGACGATTCTCTAAAATGGTCTGCTCATATAGATACCTTAGCAAAAAAATTATCCTCCGCATGTTTTGCCATTAAATCCGTTTCTAAAGAGCTGACTCCTTCTACTGCATTAATAACCTACTTTTCCTTATTCGAATCTCACCTTCGCTATGGTTTACCTTTCTGGGGTTCTTGTAGCTTATACCTTTTCGAATTTATTTTTAAACTGCAAAAAAGAGCAATCCGCTATGTATTTGGTAGTAGTAGGACACATTGCGAAAATTACTATTTTTTATGAATAGTAGAGTTAAAAATAAAACTACATTTTTTTAATTTTTTTTTTATCTATTCATTTGCCGGAGTTATGAATTTTTTTAAAATTTATGACGTCACCGGGAATAGACCAATAGGAGCTAGCGCACAACGTTGCCGGCTAGAACGTTTACGAGAAGTGATGTACGTTCGTTTGTGTACTCCTTCTTACTTTTAGACTTCTAAAACATCGTTAAACAAATATCTTTTAAATATATAATATCAAATGTTTTTTGAAAGTATTATTTCTGTTTAAACTTTTACCATATTTAAAGTTTCATTGTTTTAAAAGTAACTGAATAATTCAGAAAATGGCAAAATGGCAGCACTGTGTATGGCATCTGTCATCATAGTGTCTCGATCAAGAATTTATTTGGAATTTGAGTGTTTAATTTTGTACTTTTAATAAATATTATGACTACGAAAAAGTGTTTTGTTCCAGAATGTGATAATGATTCACATTCATCTTCAAAAATATTTATTAGTGTTCCTAGAAATTTGGAAAGAAGAAAATCAACCTTCTACTAGCGATGTTTCTCGTAAACATTTTAATAAAAATACACCGGATTATCAAGATGTAGCAGCAATTTCTGCTAATTGTCCCCTTCAGGAAATTGAAAATGAGGCTACTATAAATTCTTAGGTGTATAACCTAAAAACCCTTCTGGAAGAAAATGCAGAATCTCCTGAAAGTTTTGAAGATACCGAATTTATTCATCATTTTGTGGAAGAACTAGTGATAAAGAAATAATAGAAAAATGTGGGTATTTAAACAAACTGGTTCCTGGATCCCATATAATGGCAGATAGGGGTTTCAGAATATTTAGCTACTTGAAAACATGGGATGCACTTTAGTAAAGCCACACCTAGTGTATCACAGAATGAAAAAAGTTCTCCAGAAGATGTACAATTAAGTAAAAGAATAGCATCTCTAAGAATACATGTGGAAAGAGTTATAAGAAGGGTTAGTTAATTTAACAAGTTAAAACCACATTCGTGTGTGAATTTTAAGCAAGTACATTTACTTAGTAATATCTGCATAATTGCTTGTTAACTTACAAGAACCTATTTTGTAAGAGTAAATATTAATTTAATAATTTTTGTTTGTTTGTTTTTTTAATTTAATTTACCTAATTATCACATTTCAGGGATTATAATGAGTTTTTAAACAGCCAATGTAATTTTTTATAAAATTTTAACTTTTCAAACAAATCAAAGAGGAATGAGTACCTGTATATGCATAGATTTTTTTGGGACTAAAACTACCAAAACAAAGGCACCTATTTACAGCAGTTTAAAATGAAACATTTTGACAAAAACGCCTATGTCACAGTGATAAATATTAAAAACAACCAAGTTCAGTTGAATGTGGTAGCAAAGTCTATATATTCCAATAAATCGGGTAACTACATATGGTATCACTGGTGATAAATTTAAAAATATCACAATTATTGCCACCTTTTTCAAAAAACCAGAAAGTGTGCCTTCTTATCAATCCTTTATGAAAATGACAACAGTGATAAATGTGAAAAAAAAAATTTAATGTTGCTATTCGTTATTACGATAGTAAAACATGTTTGCAGTTCTGTTTATTTTTTATGAAAATCTAAGTAAAAACAACCAAGGTCAAAGGGTTATAATTTTTTTTCTGTCAAACCAAATATATCACAAAATTTAAAAATTGATCATAGGTCAAGCTAAAGTAATACCTTTATTGATAGTAGCTTTAAAAAAGGAGAAAGAATAATATTGACTTAAGTTATTATTATTAATATTGGTGATTTTTAATAAAAACTCTTTAATTATTGTTTACAAACAAAAATATAAAAATCTGTGAAAATTTTATTTATTAACCTTTTAATAAAAAATGAGAAAAATGAAGTAAAAAACAATTTATTTACAAATAAAAAATATATATACAAATCCTAAGAATATAAAAGTACTAATTTATTTTCCTGTAGTGGATGAAGAGGTTTCTTTAACAATCTAGCCAAGTGTACATCAATATTTACGCATTTTGATAAAGTAGAGCCTTTCCAATAACACTGAGTAGATGTTACAGATGGTTCCTCACTTCTTCTATGAAGCCACATATTTACAACCAACTGAAAAAAATAAAAGGGTTAGATATGCAGTTACAAAATAACTATATAACCAGCTACAAAATGCCTTTATTTTATGTAACAAGACGAGCAGAGCTTTACTAGCTCTGAACGAATCCAGTAAAGAACCTCGGATTTTCAATACTTAAAAAAAACAATCTCACCACATTTTCACATTTTTGAAATATTATAGAGCTTTTCGTAAAAAACTGCTATTTTTAAAAATACAATTTTTTGTTTAAACAGCTATGTCTCATTTTAGGCTATTGAGTATTATAAAATAAAAAATTACGGGATGCTTTGTTAGCTTCAAACGAATCCAGCAGAGCACCCCAGTTTTTTTTTAAACCACACCACGTTTTTTGGCTCCTACAATATTATAAAATATTCAAAATTTGGCATTTTAAAAACAATTCGCAATTCCTTGCTGACTTCAAAGTTTTTTTCTGAAAACAAATGTACTTACCACATTTTTAGGATTTTAAAACAGCCTAAACATGTGTCATAAGTAGTTGTTTTTATATATAAAAAAAAAAATTAAAAAACTGAAGTGTCCTGCTGACTTTGTTCCAACAAAGCACCCTGTATTATTTAAAAATAGCATTTTTTTTAGTAAAGTTTTACAATATTTCAAGAGTCTAAAAATATTCTAAAAATGGGGTGTGGTTTTTAGAAAAAAGCTTTAAAAAACCGAATTGCTCTGCTGGCTTCTTTCGAAGGTTAGCAAGCACCATGTATTTTTAAAAATATAATATTTCAAGTGCATAAATATATGGTGTTGCTGTTTTTACATAAAAAACTTTATAAAATAGAGGTGCTTTGCTGACTTTGTTCGAAGCTATAGAGCATTTTAAGTATTGCAAAAAACGAGGAGCATAAAATTTTTGAAAAGGGTATCAAAATAGCCTTAAAATATTGCATATTTTTTAACTCAAAATTTCATAGGTGCTCTGCAGCATTCTTTGGTATCATAATTATTACTAGGTTCACTAACAAAATCTGTTTCTAGATTATTTTAACACCTGCTGCGATTACAAAAAATGTCTATATGTCAAAATTAGAAAAAAAATATTTATAGGAATAAAGGGCCTTATACACTGTTTATTATATGTAATATAAAAACAAAAAAGCATAATAAATATTACAAACCTTGACATGCAGCATATCCTAAGCATATTGTGCACTAAAAATTTCATTTTTGTTAATAACAAGGCAACCACATCAGAAGGTTTTTGCCGTACTTTATGTTTAGGTGTAATTTGTCTCCTTCTCTCTTATGGAAAAAGAAATTATCCCAATATTCTTGCTTGGCAGATCTAAAAATAAAATCTGAGATAAATATGTTTTACTTGCTCCATATAAACTGTAACTACCTACTATTAAAACAAAGTCTTACCTTTCTGACTTTTGTAAACTGAGTATTGTTAAAAAATGCAGTAATCATCTCGGTAATCATATTTTCGTTTACAATGGGTAAAACACTTGATTCAACTTTTATAAATCCAGCTGATTCATATTAATAATAAAATTAAACCAAAACAAAAAACTAAGGTTAGATGTTACTGATGTTAGGTGGTGTCAATTTTAATGTCACTTGGATGTGCGTTCACTTCGACATTCTGTGTGTTGGTTTGTTCATTGGCTTGGTTTTGTATAACAAAAAAAACTTCGACACAAGATGATTGGTCTATTCCCGATGACGTATAATTTCAAATTTTAAATTTCAATTGGGCTTAATTTAAAAACTTTTGGCTTTTTTAACGAACTGACTATTTAGAATAACTTGTATAGCGACTAACTATTACAATATAATTTATAAAACAGCATACCTCACATGTGAACATGGCCCATTGTAAGTAAATTTAATCTATTTTTATGGGTAGCATTACTCAAATAGTTGATAGCATCTCTACTGAAATAACAGGAAATTTCTGTGACTGTAGTATAATATATCTTTAATTTTCAAAATTTTGGTTGTTGTCAATTCACTATTGAGAGTAATTGTAAAGTCGTTGGACAATAAATGTACTATTTATGAAATCCTAATTCCAAAATGTTGAAAGAAGTATTTGAAACGTGTGATCATGTTTTTTTTTTTTTTTTTTGGCATAGGCTCATTGCCATTCAGCCAGACACTAAGTGTGATCATGTTATCTTTAATCTAATTAATACTTCTCTTCAGACTGCAAGAGTATCAGATTCACTAAAAATAAGTACTATAGTTCCAATTCCTAAAGTAAGTAATACAATAAATACTTTGGAATTCCGACCTATAAATACTTTGCCACTTATAGAAAAAGTACTTGAATCAGTTGTATATGAATAAACTCTTTAACATATTGAACAAAATTATATTTTATTTTTTTATTTATTAACCAATCTAGATTCCGCAAAAAACACACTCTTGAAGCAGCTGTGCAATTCTCCTTAAGTAAATTTAAAACGGAGGTAAAAAATAATAACTACGTAGTGGCAGTTTTTCTAGATTTAAAGAGAGCTTTTGAAACAATAGATCGTGAAAAACATATTAAAATTAATGATTTATTATTTTTCAGAAAATGGACCAGCAACTTTTGAAGAAGCTATTAGAAATACTGGATTTGGGAAATTTAACGTAATGCTTGTTGCATGTTGTACATGTGGCATTTTCTCACCTTTATTTGAAACGACAACAATGTCTTATATTTTTGCTCCAGCTCATTGTGATTTGGAATTGACTTTGCAGGACAAAGGATATTTAAATTCAGCTTGTTATGCAGGTATGTCTATTTTTATTATAATGTACAAGAAAAAATATGCCACACACATACACAAACAAGAACAAATTTGCCATAAAAATATGTAGTATATGTATCTAAAAAAAATTAAAAATTGTATGTTTAGAAAGAATAAAGAACTTTGTTTTGTTTAAATTAAAATTTAAAATATAGTACAGCTTGTTATTTTTGAAAAGGAATGCTAGGGGAAGAAAGAGATAATAATGAGATAATGAGTACCTAATGAAGTGCGAATCAAAATATATGGATAGTAAGTGGTGGAATACTGCCAGGAATATTAAAAAAAATGTGATCCACCCCTGATCCACTCCAGGTGTTGGCCAAAATTTTAATTGTTATACCGCTTGATGATTAAAAAGTTGTTTTGATGATTATCACACAGAAATCAACTCTTCTTTCACAACACATTCGTATTTCATAATTCCATTTTATGTTTTTTTTTTTAGGAATGATTACAAGTTCTTTTATATGGGGATTTCTAATTGACATGTTCGGAAGGCGGAAACTTATGATTTTTGGTTACTTTTTGGATGCTACATTTGTTTTATTAAGCGGATTCTCTCAAAGCTTCACGATGTTGTTGATCTGCAAATTTTTTGGTGGTCTCATGTAAGTATATAGAAAGATATTTGTAATTTGAAGATATCTATTTTAAACTTGGGTAAAAATATTTAGTTATTTAAATTTGTATAGAAAATAAAATCATTCTTACACAAATTTAAAAGCAACTGTCATATGTTTCAGGATTTTTTTTTATAAATATCTACTGAATTTCATCAATTTATCTGTTACACACTGTATATAAAAAATGTTGTATATTATACTATATAAAAATCATATTTGCATTTTGTTTTTTTCCAACCTTGACGCCTTTGACCCAAATTGTACCTCTACAAACAAAAAAACTGAAAACGTATTTGAAGTGTTTAATAATATATTTCTTTTAGTATTAATGGTCCATTTTCCGCCATGCCAGCGTATCTGAGCGAGTTTCACTCTTCGAATTATAGATCAAGAATTCAAGTGGTAAACGGAACAATGACGAATATAGCGCAAATTTTATTGCCCCTTCTGGCCTGGGGAATAATGCCACTTCAAATCGAGTGGTCTTTATTTGGAGGATATTTAAGTAAGACATTTTTTGTTGCTGTTTTGTGAATACAGTTCATCAAATTTCTAGAGGCTTTCGAGGGCTAGACAGAGAAAGCACTACTGACAGGCATCCCGACGGATTTACGCAATGAAAGTACACTCTGCGCATCAAGTATTTCACTATTTCATTCAGACGTAAATGTCAGATGTAAATTTCGCTAAAACATTTCTTTTATTTTCGTTCGTGTTTTTTGCTCATTACAGTTTAATAGAACCTAAGTATGGAGTTTAATAGCAAATTAAGAGGCCGCGTGATTAACAGTCAATCTCGCGAAATAATAGCCAATGTTATAGAGTTTATGAGAAGAGAAGGAAACTTTAATTCACCTTCAATACCATTTAAAAATGTAAATGATCGTGTTGCTGCAGCCACAGGAGTATCTAAAAACACTGTCATCCGCATTTCTGGAGAGAAAAAAAGAATCGATAACCGTGAGATATCGGAATTTTCATCACCAAGAAAAACCATTAAAAAACCAAAAACAGTTAATGATATAGATGAAGCTGCACAAGAATCAAATTTTATTTTTTTATTATTAGATAGCTATTTTTGTTTCTGAGTTGTGTTCATTTACAGGCTCAATTTTTTTCCGTTTCTCCTTTTGATTTTATATGGGGTTTCAAGTTGTTTTTGACTTATTTCGACGTAAATCACAACAACACACTTTTTTAATAAAGCAAACAAGTGTTAAGAGGTATATGTACGTGTAAACTACAATTACAAAAAATTGATATGAAACCCATGAAACCACCAACAAAAATGTAAAGCTAGCTTCCGTACTAGAACATGGTGTTATTCGTCGAGATAATTTTTCGTTTTGTTTAATAGATCAAGAAATGTAAATATTCCCCTGTTATTTTTTATAAAATTATAAGAGAAATAAATTTTTTTCTAAATAGTATAGTTTATTATTTTGTAGAAAAACAAAATTTCGAAAATTTTAGTAATGTTTCAGAAACAACCGTTATTAATAATAGGTACCATTTTCCTTAATAAGGTAGAAATAAAATATAAACTATTTCCACGATTTACAAAGGCCTACAAAAAAATTATAGGTACTTTCCGCTATCCTATAAAATTTATATTTTCTGACTCAATTTCAAAAGGGTGAAGGAATTCCAAAACACCTTTTATGGCCTAATAATTATTTTCAATTCTACATACTATCTTTAGCTGCTTTTAAAAACGTTCTAAGAAAGTCCAATCAGACCAATTTAATCCCTAAACTATTCCACACTTTTAAAATTTAATTACCTAAAAATATTAAAAACTATTTAAAATAACTTGTTTAGCAGACTGTACAATAGCTATCTTAGTCACACGTAGCGCGTTCTCTGTCTGGGCGTCGAACACCTCTAGAAATTTGATGAACTGTACGTAAGTCAAACTCTACCTACTATTAACTGTTAACATTATAGGTAAACATTTTTATTTTAACTTTCAAACAAAAAAAAATGTTCTTATTTTAAAATAAAAATTACAAATAAATTATTAATCAAAGGTAACAAAAAATTTAAAATAAATTATAATAATTTAACTACTTTTCTTTGTTACAGCGCCTAGGTTTTAGAAAACCTGTATGCGCCTATTTTTATTTATCACAAATATCACATATATAGGAAACAAAAAAATTGTAACAGAATAAACAAAAATCAAAGACATATAGTACTATTATATTGTTAATTTCTAAAGAAAAAGTTGGTACTTACAATGTAGTTCTACAATACTTTCAGTTAAGTAAGATTTGAGTTGTACATCCCACCCCATACAACTATGTCATATCTTGTATGGATCTCAACAAGTGCCTTGTAAATCATCAGTATTAACTTCTTCGACATAAAGTTGAGCAAAATAAAAAAATTTGAATCAAAAATCTAATTTTTTTGTTTAAATAAAGCACATGTTGATCCCATTTCAGGTGTTTATTCAGAACAACCCTCAAATATTTAATATGGCTGTTCTACGTTGTCAAGCCTAAACGGTATATTGACCATTATTATCGAAAAGGCAATATAATGAGATTTGTTTATATTTAAAGTTAATTTGAATGTCTCTAGATAGTTCTTAACCTTCTAATGCATGAATTTTTTTCTTCTGTAAAAAAAATAAATTTGCGAGATTTTGTGATGAATAGGGGTTATAATGTAGTATTAGGTCATTTTTTGTTGTGTACTTGTCTTTTTTATGTATTTAAGGGGTATGCGCCTTTAGGCGGATGTGTGCAGTTAGATTCATATATCAGTAATAATATCATCATTGTTAGGGAAAACCGAAAGTAAACAAAGAAAAACATTAAAAATTATTTATTTATTATGAAAATCATGGAAACAAGTTTTTGCTGGTGAATTACATAAACTCAAGTTGCATTTTAAGCAATAGGCGTTTCTTATGTACATTTAGATTATTTGCATTGCTTTTTGCCTAAACGATCGCGGAAAGTGCACCAATGACCCACTTGGTCATAACGAATATCATCCGTGGGCTCGCTTCGGGAGCTGGAGTGAGCTTTGAAGAATTGCAAAACTTGGTTGGTCTCTGCCTTTTTTTTGCGATACTGTTCCGTAATTGCAGAGGGAATCAGATACGTTGGTTCTAAAACCGGGCAACTCGTTTACATGCAATTGGAGGCTTTTTTTCTCCAGATAATCGACTTGAATTGGGGAGAATCGTTTCTAATTGCTATTATGTCTCTAATTATCAAAATTGATTTCGAATAGGTGAACGGTGAACCATCGTCTTCCTCAATCAATTCAGGTGATATTTGTCGTTTTTTTGCGCTTATATGACAACTCTGGCGAACTAAAAATATATTCGGCAGAAGAAGTGGCTATGGCTCGTAAATCATTTTGTGGTTCAACATCGTCTTCCAGAACAGGATATTTATTTTCGCTAATAGTCATTTCTTTATCGCTAGTTTCTAAATATACATAGTTTATGTTTTTGCTTATTCAAAATTTGGATAGTGTGGATACCAAGTTGGTAGTTCGAGCCCCGAAACTTTTAGTTTTTTTTTTCCTAAAAAAAAAGAAAAATATTATTGTTTTATTATTTCACAGTCTTGGTAATTTAAAATGTTCAATTTTTTAAAAAGTATACACAATGCATAGTGGCGCATAACGAGGTTCATTAATTTTTATGTTGGCCGACAATTAAACCCCGGAAAAAGTGTCTGCCTTTTTGGAATTAATTTTTTTTTATATTTAATTAAGACGCTATTAAAATTTCAGCGTGAATCAAACACTTCAAATCATATTTAAAAAAAAATCAACTTTCGGGTTGATTTATTAATTATAAACCCTCTCAAAAGTGTCTGCCTAAATTACTAGTATTTTTAGAATTACCTAAACTTTCAATTGTTGTTTGTTGGCCTCTGAATCAAACACTTTTTTTGGGTCATATTTTACGACCCCTTTCCATTATGCGCAGTACCTGGTGTCCCGGGGTGGGTCTAGCCAACACAGGTAAATCTGCTTTTCCATCCAAATGATTTCAAATTACAAAATTTCAAAGTGCATCAAACACTTAATGGAATGTGTGTTACTATAGTCTATTTTTATGTATGAGAGAATAATAAAACAGCATTTCTAATGCAAAACTTAGTACGGTCATTTTAAATATTTTTACAGAATTATCTAAATATTTCCTAAAATTGTAATGAATGTACCTGAGCTATTACAAGTTTTGGGTCTTTTATTGGTCCTTTATAAACATAAGCTGTACAGAACAATAGAAAAAGGTTTGGACAGGCCAAAAGCCCTGTGTATTAAAGATTACATAGCCGTATCTTAAGATTATTTTCAATAAGTACCTATTTGCCAATTTTGTTTTATTTTAATTCCAAGAATTTCTTACAGTAATCGAATTATAAGTAGATAAATACCTTCCCAACAAATTTCACCGAAAATGCGATTATAGGTTTTCCATTTAGTAAGGAGGTCTAAGTTGTGTATTCTTGACAGTTTACTAAATGTCGTTTAGTTGCAACTTGCAAGGTGCAGTGTGAATTCTAGTGTGATCATGGAAAATTTGGAAGGGCCGCGTAAACGACAAAAAATCGATCCTTTAACAGTTAATGAAAAAACATTAATATTTAATTGTTTTAAATCATTTACAGACAAACATTTATGTAAAAGTGTTGATGACACAGTGGAATTAGTTAGTAGTACGCTTGGTGTTGGGAAATCTACGATATACAGAGTTGTTAAAGAAGAGAAATGTGGCGAGTTTCAAACAGCACGTAAAGCTCCAGGAAAACCAAAATTTCAATTAGAAAATCTTTTGAAAGAAAGACTTCGAAGGAAAGTGCATGCGTTCTTCTTTGGAAAAGAATTTCCGACAGTAGACAAAGTTCTTGCCACGGTTCGAGATGATAAGGATTACCCTGAAATGAGTCGAAGCACACTATGGAAACTTTTTAAAAGAAATAGGTTTTCTATGGAAAAAGCATTCCAGAAAGTCTATTTTAATAGAAGAAAGCGATATTGTAGTATGGAGAAGAAATTACCTAAGGACTATAAAAGAAATGAGAAACCAAAGAAAAAATATATTTTATTTAGATGAAACATGGATCAACGAGGGACAAACCAAATAAATTTTGGCAAGATGAAACTGTTACAAGTCGAGGACAGGCTTTTTTAAATAATTTATCTACTGGTTTAAATCCACAATCAGGAAAGGGGCGCGGACTAATAATAGTACACATCGGTAGTTCAAACGGTTTTGTTACAGGTGGTTTATTGACTTTTGAATCTACTCGTACCGGTGACTACCATGAGGACATAAATGCTGATGTCTTTAAAGAGTGGTTCGAACAAATTATAGATCTTCTTCCTCAGAACTGTTTAATAGTAATGGATAATGCAAGTTATCACTCGAGACTTATAGAAAAAATGCCCACAACCAAGTGGTTAAAAAAAGATTTACAGAATTGGCTAAATCCAAAGAATATTAAGTTCCATCCCGGTTCTGTGAGAAAA